AAATAATCAACATAATGTTTTTAGTATATAAGCATTTGTAGTACCTTGATACGTTTTCACCTTTGCATACTGAATCACAATGATCGCATTTTCCAATGATTGTTTCCCAAAGAAGCTTTTGATCTTGTCAACGTACTCCCCAAACAGTGTCATATCTAACGTCACCATGAATCACCAAGTAAAAAGAAAAGAATAAATTAATCTTGTATAGATGTTATATTCATATTGTCGTTGCTACAAAGTTATGATAAAATAAAGTACCCATCCGCTTCTAACTGAATCACAATCATCTTTGTCTTTTTGGACTCTTTAACAATTTCTTTTTGCTTGCCCACAGCAGTTAGGACCCCCATAGTGTCTGATAAAAGAAAAAATTTGTGAGATATAATCATAAACTTATTGGAGTAAATTAAATTTTGGATAAGTGAGTGATTTATTACCAACTAAATACGGGTAGTTTGAGTCTGCCTGCAATATTTCTGAAATAGTAGTCAACTTAAGACCATGCACAGGTATTCTCTCACAGCTACATGCAGTTACAGTGGTTCTTGGTTGGAAATTCAGCCTGAACTCATGTCGAGAGGTCCGATAATTTCCACTACTAATGCCGATGCCAAAATAGGCAAAGACATACACATACCCTTCCTTTATTCGCTTCTCAAAAGTTCCAACCAAACTTTTCCGGACAGTGGCATGCATCGTAGTTCCCTACATTTGTTTGTTCAAATTAAACATCATAAAAAATCAGCAACAACATATCCTCTTAAAAAAGAACAATAAATCTGAATATAATTTTAAAAAAACAACAAAACATCTGAATCATACACTAAGCAAACACAGTAGAAGCAAACTGATGGTAGAGACTGCTTAGTGTCTATATAATAATACACGAAGCATTCATTCTTCTTTAAGAGGGCACCAAGTATAGCACACTGCATTTAGCAGAAATACTGGCCAGACTGCATTCTTATGAAAAACATTGTTTGCCATATTTAAGGTGGGAGTTTTTTTTAAAAAATAAATCTACATTTGATGTTCAAGGAGAACTCTGTATATACAAAGAAGTGAAAGAACAATACAAACTACATGTTAAGGTTTCAATATTTTAAAAATACAACTAAACTTTCTTCCAGGTGCACAATTAGTCAATATCATATACAGAGTACTTCAAATGAATGCAAGTAAATTGCTGATGATATGACATACTGAGGTCCTAGTAGTGAAATATCAAGGTTGGAAAAGTAGCCACGCTAACAATATGCCACACTAAGAATATGTCACACTAACAACATCCCAATAATGCCACTAACCAAAAAAGCCAAACTGCTTTCATATGCCAGGTTTATAATTCATAAAAAACAAATAGAACTACACTCAGAATATGCCAGTAATACCACGCGGAAAAACATATATAGAATAATAGAACTAATATAATGTATAACAAAAAAATGAGAAGGAATATGATGAATCAAGAGAAGGTGACATACATGTTCATCCATGAAGACCATTTCAATGGAATTTGTAGTCCTCTCATCATTATAAGCGGGTAAAGTATACAATCGCACGACACGAACCATGATCCTCCAACATTCACTGCTTGGAGTGATCTTCGACAGTGGATGGATGGTCATTGTCACGGATTGAACAAAAAAACAAAAAGGAATATGAATCTCAGAATCTCAGAAAATAGTATGCGTAAGTCAGGAATTCTGGGTTGTTCTTGAGGAGAATGTATATATAGATAGAATTATAGGAAGAAAGAATACATCTATTAATAGAATATAAATTAGGTATATGATTTCTCAAATCTAATTAGGGTATACGAAAATGAATTAGGAATGAAATACGATTTTAATTGTTTCAATCAATTGAAGAAAGCAGATTGTTATTTATGAACCCTAATTTCGGGTAAAAATTAGGGAAAATTTGGGGTAGCGAAGAAGAAAATGGAAAGGCGTAGCGGAGTACCTGTGATTTCTTTCCATCTGTGACCCAAGGCAGCGAGAACCGAAGGCAGCGAGAAATCTGTTTCCTTTTCAGCGTGAAGACTTCCAGGATTTTTACTTCTTTCTTCGCGAAGATGTCGGGGGAGAAAGACGGGTACTGGAAGGACGAAGGAGAGCTTAGCCAATAATTTGACGCGTGTCAATCCGATGTGTCGTAAAAATAAGAGCCCCAACTTGCCACGTGTCAAAATTCTAGGCTATCAACTCTCAAATATTATATTAAAGGATTTAATATCATGGAGAGAAGCTAGAAAATTTAGATTTAGGCACATTTTTTAATTAAATAAACCCAGAAAATTATTTTAATAGCTCAATACACTATACTCCGTATAATTTAAGACGATCTCTCTCAACTACAATGTATTGTACCTTACTAAGTTTTTATGATATATGATTTGATATAAATTATTTTTTAAATTAAAATCATTCTCCCTTTGTCCAAATGCAAAAATAGTACCTCTCACTTTGAACAACATGCAAAATATTATATATTTTGCAAATTGGTATAAAAATAAAAAGTAAAAATTACATATTTCAAAATAAGATGTGACAATAATATTTTATTTTATTAAGTAATCAATAAAAACACACAAATAAATACAATTTATCAAGATTTTAGATTAGTAACTGAGATGATTATTAGGATGATTATTCTTATATTTATTAATTAATTAATATAAATTTAAATTTAAAAATATTATTAATAGAAATAATCAAAGAGAACGAATCCAAGTTAAAAATAGAAGTGACTTTTTCAATTCATTCAATATTGATTGGACGATTATTATTAGTCTTATTTATGAACAAGTTTCAAATTCCCAAAATCAAGCTTTTCACCTAGAAAGCTCTAAACCAATTCATCCCTTTTCCTAATAATTTATCTAAATAGGACTAAAACATAATGACTTTCTAAAAATAAGATCAAATGTTTTTATTTCCCAATGTAGGATTTTTGGTCATTATCTATTAGTCATTATTCAACTAAATGACCAACATCACTTGGACATTATTCTTCTCACTAGTCATTATTAAGTCCTATTTAGGGAATAAAAAAGTTTAAGTCTTACATTGGGAAATGACTTATGTTTTAGTCTTATTCAGTGCAAATTTTCACTTTCTAATATTCTCAATAGAGTCAGGGCCGTCTCTGAGAAATGAGGGGCCCTATACGACAGGTAGAAAATGGGCCATTGTGTTATAATAAAATAAAGTTATCAATTAATTTATTTAACAATAATTAACATTATATTAATAAGAATAATGAAATATCAAATTCATATTCTTCAAAATCAAAGTAAACTTCATTGCTTTGATTTTGGTCGTAGGTTGGCGGGGATTGAGGAAACTGGGGGTTGGCGGCAACAGCTTGATGTTGAATAAGAAGAGAGTAACTCGAAGGGACGACATGGGTGAGTTTTGAAGAAGAGTTATTAAGTCAATCTGTTTTTTGTCTTACACTAAAAATCGTGCCAAGTAAGAATGGGAAGAAGTTAATGGGAGAGAAAGAGTATTTAGACTCGTCGTGATTTGGTCATAGTCTAGGCTTTTCACAAAAGATCATCGTTCAAGACTAACATAGTCTTTGACCTATTTTGTAGGATCAAATGAGACTATCGATCCGAGGTCGAACTGGTCTCATAGGCCATTTTCCCGAGCTATCATGTAAGTAGTTTTTAGGGATGGGTCGAAAAAAAACTGAAAATTGAATTGAAACTTATCGGATTTTGTCAAAAAATAAATCGAATCGAAAAAATAAAAACTGAATATAGAAAAACTGAACCTAACCGTTTTGTGTGTGTTTTGGTTTTGGAGTTTGAAAACCAAACCAAACTATTCTATTTTGGTTTTGGCTGAAAACCGAACCACTAGAAGGAACCCACCCGGAGTACTTTTGGTCCCAATCCTTTTATTCTTGACTCCAACTCACACGTGCATTTAATTTAAAGTTTGGTATTAAAATATAAGAGCTGACAAGAATATTTTATTTTATAAAATAGTAATTATTTTCTCTGTCCCAAAATATTTGCTACATTTGTTATTTCAACTGCCACTGGAATTTTTGTTTATTTTTGTAAGTTTTCATCGATTATTTGATAAAATAAAATATTCTTGATACCTCTTATTGTAAAAAAATTTTCATGTAGTTTTTAAATATGTAAATTTTATTTTTCATTTTTATACCAATATTTAAATAAAATGAATTGAAAAAATCCGATATTTTGCCTCATTTTTAGAAATGTGGTAAACATTAGAGACAAACGGAGTAATAAAAACATACACATAAACAAAAGTTCTCGTGATTTTTGAATAATAAAGTTTGACATTCTTTTTGAATAGTTTTTTTTAACCTTTTTTTAATTACTTATTCAAACCTTACAAGTTGCTTCAATTCTAATATCAAACATTATTTTTTCAATTCAAAAGAGTAGACCCTAAATTTCTTTTGGAGAACTATGATAATATCACACATAAAACACATTTCACTCGTTTATCGTTCCTTTAGTACTGTTTTCATTAGACCAGACAAAAATTAAATTATCCGACCTGTTTTTGATCTGAAAGCCGATCTGAAAATACTGAATTTTGAACAAAAGTTTGGTTGACCTAGCCCGAAATGTCCCACCAAAAATGAGTCAAACCCCACTGAACCCAAATCCGACCTGACCGACCCACTAATGTAAGAGTTTTCAAAATCATATACTTCATTATAAAATCTAATGTTACAAAAATAAGGTTATAACTATATATTTTTTCTTACTACTCGTTTTTAGTGTACTTTACAAAATTTTAATGATATTGTAAAATTATCTTGCTTTTTCCCAAAGATTATGCATTTTTTAATTCTTTATATTGTCTTATATATCTAAAATTACTTCAAAATTTAAAATAGAATAATATAATATATGTAATACATATGTTTTGATATTTTAATTCTATTTAATGCGAAATGCAGATGTTATTATGAATTTAAAAATTCTAAAAACCAAATTCATAACCCATTAGGTCGATCCGAACCCGACGAAACTGGGCCATAACATATAATTCCCATTCCGAACCTGAATTGACCCGAATCCGAAGTACTCCGAACCCAACCAAATTGACCGATTTGCCAGCTCTAGTTTTCATCCATATATTATCATATGTTTTTCAACATAAAGGATTATTTCAATTTTAAAAAAATATACTCCTTAATTTTGTCTTAAAGCATTTGTCTAGTTTTAACTTTTTGCAGTCATCTTTGATCGATTTTTGACCAATAATTAAATAAAAATTATATGATATATTAATAGATAAAGTAATACTTTGAAAATATTTTATAAGACTAATCTAATACAATTAATCTTGTATCAATATCTAATATAAATATGATTTGATTCATTGTCAAAGTTATCAATTTTGATTGTAAAAAATCAATAAAGCAGAAATACGGGTTAATATGGAGAAATTATAAACTACATACTCCCTCCGTCCCCAATTTGATTACAATTTTTCTTTCTCCTTTCGATAACTTTTGTTTGTTTACGCAATTTCATTAACTATTTCATAAAATAAAATATTTTTGTCACCTCTTGTTTTGTACAACTTTTGACGTAGTATTTTAATATGTACTCCCTCCGTCCCTAATAAAGTTCCTCTTTCGTTTTTTCTTTGTCCCTAAATAAACTTTTCTTTTCCCTTAAAAAACCCCTTTTACCCCTTACTTTTTCATACCCTACCTATCACATAATACCTTTTTACTAATAATCTACTGATCACATCTTACTTTAACACATCACATCAAGGGTATTTTTGGAAAGTCAACACCAAAATATCCCTCCCTTAAATCTTCAAAAGTCAAAAATGGAACTTTATTTAGGGACGGAGGGAGTATTTTTTTTCAATATATACCGATTTGTGAAAAAATAACTTTAAAAAATAAAATATTTCTCCTCGTAAATTTTACTTTATAATCAAATTGGGGACAGAAAGAATAATACTTTATACGAAGCATTTCACAAGCATGCTCGGCAAATGCCCAAGACCTTAGGTAGCTCTAAGTGTTGGTTGGGCTGGGTTGAAATTTTAGGTTCGATTTGTGGATTGGGCCAGACTTCTCGTCCTGTCCCAACAACCCAAAGCTGACCTGCACTTTGATGGGGCGATCATTCCATAAAACACCGAACCAAACCGAATTGTACCAAAATTTGGGTAAATTATTTTACCGAAGTATATTGAATCAGTTAGGTTTGGTAAAAAACCAAAAAAAAAAAAATGCTTTGGTTAATGATTTTACCAAAAAACTGAAAAATAATGCCACAAGAAATTGTAGAATCACCAGGTGAATTCTTTTGACAAAAATACTGTTCAATTAAAATTCTTATACTCAATGTGGTGCAAGAATCACCACAAACCCACAATGAATAGGCGCAATAGACAATTAAACACTTTCAAAACTTCAAAGTAGAAAATATTAGAATTTAAAAAAAGACTAAAAAAACATCGTGTGAAGTATTTTTCAATATATTTTTTATATAATTAATACGGCTTATAATTTTAATTAAACTATAAATGAAAGGTCAATCATGTTTAATAGCGAAAATTTAAACAAAATGAACATTTAGGATAGAGGGTATCTTTCCAGTTGTCAATGGCGTATTGTACGTGTGTGGTTAGTTAATGCTTTCATGGATTTTGTTGTGCTAGATATATGCTAAAGTGGGTACAACTATAAGAGTGTATTCGAGAGTGTTGTGAGAAATGGATTAGTAAAAATTAAAAGTTAGAAGTGGTAAGTAAATATTTTTTAGCTTTGCTAAAAAGTATTTTTAAACCTTGATTTCTACTTCTATAGCCATAATTTATAAGTTAAAGTAGATTGCCAAACATTTCAAATTGTGTTTTAATAAAATAGAAGCTATACGTTATTTTCTAATGCACTATCAAACACCCTCTAAGAGATACTTCTTACGTCCAAAAATGATTGCCACATTTGATTTTTCAATAGTCACGAGAATTTTTGTTTATTTGTTCGTTTTCCTTGGTTATTTGATAAAATAGACTATTCTTGGCACCTCTTAGGTCGAAGATTTTTTCATACACTTTTTAAGTATGTAAATTTTATTTTTTATTTTTATATCGATATTTAAATAAAATAAGCTTAAAAATTAATGTTTTACCTCGTTTTTTAAAATGTGATAAACATTTAGGAAGGAGAGAGGTGTGGGATGCAAAACTTTGACATGATGAATAGTTCAAATCAGGAAGAATAAAATCCACAATGTATATATGAGCAAAATAAATATATATTTCTTTATTACTTAAATAAGTATTTTTTTAAATAAAAAAATAAAAAGAATAATTTTTATGTGAGAAAGTCTGTAAAAATGATATTCACCCAAGGTGAACCCAAAAAACACTCTTTTTTTAATACTAAATTAGGATCTACAATGTGTCCATGCAAGAAGTGTTAATATATAATGCTAAAAAATTATACGAAATGCTCACAAACAATTCCAAGTTGTGTCATCCCACAGTGCAAGCAGTCATATTTTAGGGATAAAAAACATAATATGTAGTATATCCTATTTTGTATAACTTAAATATTTTAGTTTGATCAACTCTTCCTAAGACTATCCGTCTATTTTGACTTTTACAAGTCAAACATTAAAAAAAATCATTTGGTTCAATTTGTTGAGGACTCACAATTTTTTTATTGTATTAATATACCGTGCAAATTAAAAATGAATAATGATTCAAGTTCATTTAGTTTGATTAAAAAAATTAAATTGAACAAATATATATACGAAAAATGAGGAATATTTAGTGACCAAGTACATTTCATTTTAATTAATCACCAAATTTTAGAATTTTTAAATAGAACGGAGTAGAATAATAAATAATGAAAACTACAAATTGCGGAAATGAATGCAGCCTATTTTTTTTCTCATCAGGAATGGAAAATATCAGATGTGGGGGGGGGGGGGGGGGGG